TGCAGGGCCCACACGGAGCCTCAGGGAGGGTGAAAGACGGGAGGCTGCAGAAGGCCAGCAATGGGCACCTTTCTAGCCTCTGGGGAGCCTCCGGACCTCGGGGGAGGCCGTTTTCGCCCTCCCGGAGGCTCAAGGAAAACTTCTGGAGCCCAGGAAGGGCAAAAACGCCCCCCATGCCATGGTGCAGGAGGCCGACTAGGCCAGGGGNATTGTTCCTATGTTGTTTTTAAGTTATGTGGTTATTTTTGTTAATGTGTTTATGTGTTCTGTTGATGTGCTTATGTGTATAAAATAAAAAATAAATAAATAAAAGAATAGATTAGGGATGTCTTCTTTGTCTATTATATGAATTTCTCTATGCTATTTTTGTTAAGTCTAATTTTTACATTAGAACATTTCTTATGTTAATAGTAAAACTTAATTTTTAAGATTTTCCTTTTTTATGATTTCATTATCTGAAGTATAACTTCTGGCACATGTTTGCAGAATTCCAAATTGGATTCCTGTTCCTTTTTATAGAAAAACTTTTATGTTGAATAATCTTGTAAACAGCTACTTCTGGAAATAATTCTGCATTGTAGGCTTTTGGACCAATTGTTAGCAACAAACAGTTTTTATTGTTACTATTATTATGATTGTTGTTTTGGCCCAATCATAACAGCAAAGAAGATGAAGGAGAAAGAGAAGTAAAAGCATTGGCAGCACTGGATCACCTACACATTGTTAAATATTATTATTGTTGGTTTGGAAAAGACGTTTTCCAATTTCTTGAAACCGAAGAAACCAGGTAATTTCATCATTACATAATGTGTATTTTTTAAAAGAAAACATTTTGAGTATCTGTTTTGTTTGTGCTTAGTTAGCTTTGCAATTACTGGGCAAATTCCACTCGATTTATTCTATTCAAACTTACATCTTGCGGTCTTAAATGTGTACAACTTATATTTAACATAAACAGGCAGAAAGTGTCTTTCCTTTTATTACAAAGCAAGCTAAAATAAAAAAGGAAAGTTGTCAGGGAGCAGTATCACAGAGCCAAATCGTTAACATTTCCGTATCAGGGTGTATGTTAAAGCAGTTCAACCCAACAAGCTTGTACGTGATGGTTATTCTTATAACAATAGAGTAATAATACTTTAGAGAATTAATACAATCAAACAATAACCATTTATTGACTAAATCCTCATATTCTGGCATCAAATTATTACATCTCCTAGGACATCCTAGGACTTTGCCAAAGTTATGGAAGGCAGCAAAAGTAGGAGCCATTTTGGCCTTGGAGGTGAGGCTACAGAAGAGGAAGGGAAATCCCCATCAAGAGTGCCTGCGTTTATTTAGCCTTTAAGAGCAAATAATGTTATTGTATATTTTCTGTATGTGAGGCACTAAATTTTTATCTAAATTAAATTGGGCTTTCTGTCATCCTTTGGCATTAATGTACAAATGGGTTTTTCCTGATAGCTCAGAGCTTTACTTGAAACATGGTTAGTTATATCATGGAGTTCTCAGCTGTACTTGAATCCCATAAATAAACAAAATGGTTGGATCTATACAAACGGTTGGACCTACGACTGATGTCAGTAAACCAATTGGGAGGTAGATAATTTTAATATTATTGTCTTTTTTTGTCTTAAATTCTTAACAGCGAAAAGCAATATGACTGCTTCTTCATTAGTATGGAATTTTGTGAAAAAGGAAATCTATCAGATTGGTTATATCAAAAAACGGGAAATTCTTGTAAAGATGAATCTATATTTCTATTTCAACAAATAGTGGAAGGAGTGAAATATATTCATTCTAAGGATTTAATTCATAGAGACCTCAAGGTGCGTATTGTCAACAATTCAAAATATCAGATCGTGCCATCTGAACAATATTCTTATGGGAATTTTTTGAAAACCCTTTTGTAAAATATTACAGTGTGTATTACAGAAATACTAGGTATACAATATTAAGAATTCTGACAGACTTATATAAGCTCCTTGTTTTCTGTGAAACACTCATCACCCAGAATGAAATGTGACTTGGTTCCTATCTGGCCATAAAGTAAAGAAATTCAGCCCTACATTCAGGCCTAGATAACAGCAGAAACCTCAGGACTCAAACCTCAGGACTCAACCTGAAGATCAGAGGTTTGTGGACTTCAACTCCCAGAATTCTCCAGCCAGCTCTGCTCTGCTGGCTGGAGAATTCTGGGAGNTATTATTATTATTATTATTATTATTATTATTATTATTATTATTATTATTATTATTATTATTATTATTATTATTATGTAGCTAGAATTGTTAGGATTGTTTATTTTTCATCCTTTCTTAACTCTGTTGTGTGTGTGAAACCTTATACTTTTTGCCACTTTTAATAAAGTCAATCGGTTTAAGCCCTGGAGTTTCCCCCTGGCCTTCCTGCCCCCTCCTCAGGGTGGCTGAGCTCCTGACGGCCAAAGCCAGAGCTGGAGGGGGGAGGCTCTCTGATCCTCTCCTGGGTCCCCAGAGGGCTGGTTGGGGGAGAAACTTGGGGGTCACGAAGAGGGGGGGTGGCAGGAGACCCAATGGGTCAGGAGTTCTTCCCCCTGAAGACTTCCCCCCTGATTTCATGGGGGCAGGAGGGGGATATTGAACACTGGACAGTATCAGGCAATCAAGGAGTTTCCCTCTTTTTTTTTTGATAGAAAAGAGATTTCTTTTTCTTATCCATCAGCAGAAAATATAAATCAATCACACTCTTTTAATTGTATTGCTAGAAACTAGAAACAGACTCAGTAGAGCTAGGAGGGCAGACAGTCAGCTGAGGAGGGACAAACGGTCTCTTGTGACATCTACACAACCTACTTTTCCCAGTGACTTCAGCCATGGCTGCATTCACACTTGCAACTCTTAATCCTGGTTTGTTTTCTGAGGTTGAACCTGCTGGCCGATGAGTTACTGAAGCATGGGAACTCCAAAGCATATTAATTCAGGGGAGACAGGTTGGACAATCAGTTGTAACTGAAGATAAGGATTAATTCCTTAGGTCAAGCTCTGTGGGAACAAGTTTTGGGACAGGCAGGATCTGTGCCCTTGATTGTACTTCTCTCTTCTTTCCAGGTGAAGCTGAATGTCTTTCTGTTTATGTCAGGAAAGTCACTGGCATTTCCATCTTGTGCAACTGCTTTGAATTCTTCCAACTGTTTCTGCTGTTGGTGTTAGAAACAGGAAGAGAATTAATAAAGCTCCATGAATTATGAGCCTTCTGCTTCTGATGCTGCTGGTGTCCCATCCAGTCTCTGGGAAGCTTGGAATGAAATGCCCGCTGAGTTTGGAGCACCAGGGTGGAAAACAACCACAGAGCTTTTACAGTCCAGGAGACCATCTCATCGGTATAGTCACAACTGAAACACTAATATCGCCTATAATGTTGCCTTTCAGCAGGTCTCCTTCTAGTCCATCTCAGTAAGTCATTCAGGGTGATTGGAGTTGCATCCCCTCCATTTGCAGTCATAACGCTCTCCTTCTTTTCTCCTTATTTCACTTACTTCTATATTACAGAACTAGTCTAATTTCCTGAATGATTTTGATTTTCATAACTTGCCTCTTTTTTCTTATTTGGAGAAGAGACTCAAATCCAAAGATGGGGTTAAAAAAACCAGAAGGGAATCCAGATTGTTTTCCTCTTCCCTTTCATTCCTGAATTCATCCAGGCCCTTTAATTTTCCACTCTACAATTTGTACCTGAAGCATTTTCTCTGCTGCTCTTCCAACCTTCTCTTGTCAGTGAAGGGCTGGAGAACATGTCCAGAGAAAGGGAACCTTGAGACTCTCCCCAGGAGGAGGTTGAAGGGATCCTGTTTAAAGGCAACAGCATCATTGACAGGTGTCACTCAAGCCCCTCGTCTGTCCCGCTCCCAGGTCAGGCAGGGCCACCCCCGGCAGGCGGTCTTCCTGAACCCCTCCCCTCGTCCCCCCAGACGCCTCCTTGGGGCTGCCCGGGAGCCTCACCAGGAGCCGGTCGGAGTGCAGCGGACAGAGGAGCGGGGCGAGCGAGCGACCGGACGGGGCTTCCTCTCAGCCCAACTGCGGGGATGGCTGGTGGGGGCTCCCTGCGCCTCTTCTCTCCCGCGCCGCGGCTCTGTCTGCAGAGGCTGTGGCGCCCCCGCCGAGGAGAGCGCCGGAGGTCCCGCGGGGGGACGAGCGTAGCCCCCGGATCTGAGAGAGACGAGAAGCTCCGGGGAGGGGAAGAGGCGGCCTCTGCGGCTCTGAGCCCCCGCAAGACCCCGAGGCCGCTGCAAGGGGAGCCTCTTCAGCACTCCCCACCCCCCGCAGACTCTGTAAGT